AGCGGTTTGTACGACACGAACTGCTGCACCACATCCCTCGAGAGTGTCATGCAAAACCCAACTACCATTTGAAAACTAGCAACACTATTAATAAAGGCTGTAGAGCCCCAATACACCCCGCGGCGAGGCAGCGAGCGCAGGTCGGCGAGGTACTGCGGCACACGCAGGAACATGTCGTCGTCACCCTTCGCGATATAGCTCACATTCGGGAACAGACAGAGCGCCAACTCGAACCAAAAGAACGTCTTGCGGCTCATTCCGACCTCAGCCTCATTTCCCCAGAAGCCACCACCACCGATCTTCTTGTTCGTAGAGGAGCGTCCCTCATTCATCGGCAGCGCAATCACATCGTGCCACTCCGCCGCCTCACGCTGCAGCGCCAAAGAGTACGTGAAGTTGTGTGACGGGTGCCGCGCAAGCACGTACAGCACCAGCATCGCACCGGTGAAGTTGTTTGATTTAGTCGCCACATGGGGGAACTGCCAGCACGTTGAGCGCTGAAGGGTGCGAAGCCTTCGCCTACCACGAATGTCAACGGAGGGAATGCCAAACAAAATCAGGAAGTCACGGTTCTTCCACGTGCGCACCACGCTACGAGGGATGTATTGAAGACATTCACTGCCAGCATCACCTTCTCCACTACATTGGCCGACGAGGGAAACGCTGGCTGGTGAATCATCAGTGAACAACTCAGCCGATTGAGTCAAGGTGCCAAGTAAGAGACAGTAAAGCCCTACGGCGGATCCCAAGAACGCAACTATACAAAGAACGTTTGTACTGATTGGGCGTAATCTCTTTCTTGCCATTGGTGCTGCTGCACCACAAGAGAGAAAAAATGATATAGAAAAAGCAGGTCCGCCATTGTGGCAGTCGTATACGCAGCACGAATAGGAAGAACGAATCCCCAGGAAGTACGTTGACAGCTCAACCGCAAAGCTCAAGGAAAGTGCGCTCCACACGTGCAGAACGCCAAGGGACACATAAGCTTCAGCACCCGCAGGTCACGCCTCGCCACAAAGCCCCATCAGGGTGTCGCACGCTTTCTCTAGTCCAACTGTCTTAGGGCGTAGAGCAGGATGTGTCTGCCGGCGGTCATCACCGTGTCTGTCAGCACAGGCACAGATCCGCGAGTGGTATGGTGCCACCGCTAAACAGTATCACCACCGCAGCACTGCGCACATGTGTGTGGGCCGAAATGCACTCGCCATTGGCACTCCCTTTGAATCCAGGCACAGAAGACGACGGAAGGGTCAGAGCGGAAAGTCATCAAGGGAGAAAAAGGGCACTCACAGTACATCCAACAAATTGCAGATACACGCAACGGAGTAGAAACAAAAATGAAAACGAGAGGTATGCGCAAAAATATGCGTTGTATCTTCAGTCAGCTGCCGCTCTCACTTGACGTGTCTCCGACGGAGGCCAACAATTAGTGTATACCACGCAGCGATATAACGAAGAGAACAAAAAAAAAGAGAGGTCCTCATATGATATAGTTTAGACGCCATAATATAGAGGCAATCAGACAGGGCATAAATGAAAGCAGAGGAAACGAAAAAAAAAAAAATGTCGTATCAGAAAAAGATGCTAAAGCACGAAAATGAAAATCCCTTCTCAGGCATTTATATACTATTGGGGAACCACCACACTGTATATGGCGGAGCCAGTGCCAAAGACCAAACAGATAACGCCAACCACGAGCAGTGCGTACGTGAGGGTGTAGTGCGTCCATCCCACAGACCTCAGCGTCCAGTTGCCGGCGTACATCATAAAGATCGCAGGGAAGATAAATGACGTCAGGCCACCGCACACCGCACCAACAAAGCCAAAGACCGTATTGATCTTTGGGATGAACAGACCGCACAACAGCATAACGGAAGAAAGGACAATGACAATGACGCAGTGCTTCCAGAACGGCACACTATCCACATCCCAACCAACAGCGTAATAAATAGTGTTGCGGCTTACCAACGCGTTTAGCGCGTATGAGGCGCACAACTTCACCAAGATGCCAATGTAGGCCACCATCACCACAGGCTTCTTGACGGGGTCATACATGAGCAGAATGGAGTCTGTCACGCGACTTCCAAAGTCGAGGTACCCAAAGACAGAAGTGAGAAAGTACGCAAAGAAACAAAAAATCAACGCAATGCCGGAATACAGAGTGAATCGGCTTGCATTGCGATGTGTCATGTCCCAGTACATCTCGAATGAATTCAAGTGGCACATAAAGGCAAACATGAATACACCAAGACCATCCAGCGCCCTGTTCCCAGTGCCGAACATGTGGATGCCCTCGTCAGTGGCGTCGCCGACTACATTTATATTCTGCACGTTTTCCAGCAGACCATTCATACACGAGTGTACGATTGTCAGCAAGACAAAGTATACGATGAATCCCACGCCCACCATCGACACGTACCGCAGCGAGTTGATGTGCTTCGGGATCACGAGCGGCAGCATCACAACGAGCCACACAAGGCCTGTTAGCAGCCGGTTCCCAGACCGCGACTTCCAGAACCCCGGAGCATCCGTGTCTTCAATTATGGCGCTGAAAATGTTTCCCACACTGATGATGTACGCCACGCAGGCGCCAAACGTGGTCACCAGGCGCATGGCAGAGGTGACATGCTTCAAAGCAGGACCAAGCAGTGCATTCGCCATGCCCTCATACGACCTCACATCCAGGCGCTCCATCAGTGTGGTCAGGCAGAACAGCGAGTANAGGGAAAATATCATAATGACCGCTGGGTACAGGAACGCCATGGCGAGACCACTGCTGTTAGCGGCAGCAGGTACACCAAGAATGCCGGCACCAATGCACGCGGAAGACATATTGAACACTGTGGACAGCATCCCGCCTGGTGGAATTACTCTTGACAGGCAACGCAAGAGGGGCTGCACGCAAGCATTGCCTTTGGTAGGGGGAGCATTCAACACCTCTCCCAGCATCGGCTCCTTGTCTCCATCCGACAGCGACTCCAAGGGCACATAAGGCTGAGCAGCATTTGAAGACAGGGTGAAGTTTTCGGCTACCTCGCACATCGGCTGCAAATGATCATTCAGGTGGCTTCCAGTGGCAGGNGGCATACCTTGGGCCTTTTCCAAGTTTTCGTATAATGACAATTATGCAGCGCGTGTCGCCCGCTTAGTTTATGAGGTCCCCTCTTAGCCTACAAGGTATATTTGCCAATATTCACACGGAATATAGATAGATGGAGAGAGAGAGAGAGAGAAAGCAAAGCAATGGACGCCTGCGACAAGCAGCCTCTAGGCGGCTTCCACCACTCAGTCAAGCGCGCACACAGATGGGGAATCAAGACACACTCACACACCTAAACACAGTAAAACAAACAAACAGGGCTTGTCTGAACTCGTGCCGTTCAGCAGCCATTTCGACGCTTGCACTGTCGGGTGACGAATTAGTGGAAGAGGTGCCTCGATGTGGTGGCATTACCACTTCACAGAGACCTGTTATATAGCAGGCACAGTAAAACGAGTATTCAGTCATTGACTCATCTTTTTTATCCAATCCCTGCATCTATGCGTCAGTCACCGTTCATTCCTTTGTGCATAAACACGCTTCAAGTCGCCCTCGTATTCGTCCCACTCCTTATGGCTTGAAGAAGCTGTATATGCAGGAAACGCTGAGAGAGGACATATGACAAACTGTAGAACAAAAGGGGACTCCG